GCCAGCTGGCCTGAGTAATCATCACTGTTTTAGCAGTAAGTTTTCATCTTCTGTGTGGTAGGGACTGGCAAGGCCACTTAACTGGTCTATCATACAGAGTGGTGATTCTGAAAAGATGTTATACTTACCACATTGGTTGTTATAAAAATTAAATGGGACAAACCTATCCAGTTCTTACCAGCAGCCAGTTGGTAGTACTGGATTTAGTGTAGGTGTTCCTATTTCCTAGAAGCTGTACTTCCCTGACCCTTGTGCACAGCACTCTGCATTCAGCTCCATGATTTGATGTTGCATTGGCCATGATGTCCTCCTTTCTTCTATACTGGTTTTGGAGGTAGAGAAGGGGTGATAGGATTTGCACATGGTTCCTCAAATGCTCTACCAATGATTAGTTCTTTGTTGACTGGGATATTTAGCTCTAGAATTTGCTCTAAGGTCTAAGTGGGCTTTTGGGTAGGCTGAGTTATGTTCTAATTCGTACTACTATGACAAAGGTTGTTACCCTGGCTACCAGAGCTGGGGTAAGAGGAGCCCCTGAACAAAAAAGGGTAAGGATTTGATGTCCAGGTATATTCATTTTAGAGTTCTCTGGAAATAAGTGATTGTAGCAAAATTTTTCCCCTTCTCCTCCCTTCATTTATCCCCCCTCTTTCAGACTGCAAAGTACAAACCCAGAGAAGGAGGAAGTTAATTCACATTTTTGCTTTCTTCTAAGGGCAAAGAAATGCACCGACTTGTTCCCAAGGGCTCATTTTCCATTTCTGTTCAGCTCATCAGAGTGTATTGTGAGCCTCTACAAAGATCTTGGAGGCGGACGTCTGGGCCTTCCTTTATGTGAAATGTACTCCCTCCCCACTAGCCCCGGCGCTGAGCTCTGCCTCTGTGCTCAGGCCTGGTGTGTTTATAGAGGATTCAGCATGCTGGGCCACACAGAGAAGCTGCAGGGGGTGCCCAGGTTCACATGTCCCACATTCCACGTGAATGTTTCTGACATTGAGCAATGGCATGGCTCTGCCAGGTTTAGGTCTGTCCGATTGGAATGCAGCAGAAAAGGAAAGTCCCGGAGTGATTCAAATACTCACCTCTCCACAACCTCTTGTTGTTTTTTTAAATTCCTTTTTAATTCTCCGATGACAAACTCCACTCAGCACTCTCGCTGACCGCATGGCACTTGTTGGTGCTGATAAGCACAACTTCCCAAGAGACAGGAATGCAGATCGTAATATTTTGTTGAGTCATGTGTACTCTGCGGCTCTTTCCCAAACATTGCATCAGACCCATAATTGGCAGCTCCCAGGACTCTGCTGGATGACACTGAATGTCCAGGAAAAACTCACTCCATTTCTCGAAAAAATGTAGTCTCACTCTCTCCATCTGCCTGTTTGTAATATCCTGTTCTTAAGGAAGCCGAACCCCTGGGAGGAGTACAGGCAAACCGGTTTTGCAGATAAGTTTGAAAAATATGGCTATTGGCTTTACCCACCCACTCTAGTCTCTTAGCAACAGGACAGCTGATGGTATCCACTAGGAGAAAAAAAAAAAAGGCAGAACATGTGGGGAGCCTGTCTGAATTCTTGCCTGCAGTCTGATTTATTTAAGCCTCTGCTGCATTCTTGGGTGTGGAGACCCAGAAGTCAAGTCATGAGAGCATTCCCCTGCCCTTCTCTTGACCTCCACAAAGGAGTGGATAGAAGGAAATCTCAGAATGAGAGCAACCCTCTTTTGTAAGAATCTACCTTATCCATGACAATTCTCTTCCCTGGGGAGCACAGGCAGGGGGCTGCTGGTGCTCTCATCCCCACTCAGGTTGATTTTCTCACCTTCAATGTAAGGAGATAGAATTAGATGTGCACTCGGGTGACTTCTAGCACTGGGTTGATGGGGTGTTTGTATTCCTGCGTGTGTATATGCACTAGAGAAACAGGGAGAGAGAACCACTGTCAATAGGGTCTCCTGATGTTGTGATCCCCTTTCCTCAGCCAGCCCTCCAGTCCCTCAGTTTTTTGGGCACCTCTGTGTGCCCCTGGTAGTCCAACCTGGGTATCTGAACCCACAGTTTGGCATGTGGCTTCCAGATTTCAGGGCACTGCATTACTGTATGTCACAGTGGCTGGACCATACGTTTTCTATTATATCATGAATCCACATGCTTCACTTTCTCTCTCCCCAATGGTGTTAAGTGGTTGAGTAAGTATACAGGTCTGACTAAGTCTGAAGCCCATGTTAATTCTTGTTCTATGCTGTTATGATATACACATACAGATACCACATAGCTGGTATTGCACGTTACATCTCCTGATCTTTATGCTACATCTCTTAATTCATGGGAGTGGAATGATAGGTAGGTTTAAAGGATTTAGGTATTAATGGAGAGACCTGAGTTAACATTCTTACTCTGAACGGTTACATGACCTCAGAATTCTTGACTATAAAAGGGTTCTAACAAAGCCTACTGATCATGTTGCTATGAGGATCAGTGAAATCATGTATGTGAAACACCCAGCGCAGTGCCCCTACAAAGTACGTGCTCAATAAAAGGGAGAGCTTGAGAGAAACACTTGATTATAGGTTACTTACTAACTTGCCTCGATTGTCCTGTAAACAAAACAGTTTGAATGGAACACAGAAGACAATTGTGTTTGCTGAAGCAAATGGATGAAGCATACCCACACACACACTTACACACACATGCACACACATGCTCATGAAAGAGTGATGCATGTTCTGACTTTATGCTGCTGGAGTTCCTCGACAGGGCCTGGCATTTTAGAGCAATACATCACAGCTAAGATGACCAATGTGATTTGGTTGTGGCTGGGAATTTGTTACAAACTTAATGTTCTTTAATCACTTGAAAACTATGGACAGTTGCTTTTCAAAGCACTTTGATTTTTGTTGCTGTTGTTACTGCCAGATATAATTAGGATGTCTATTTTTCTCAGTGTCTCTCTGCTTTTCTTCCTCTTACTGAGTACTTAGAATGGACCAGACATGGTATCAGATGTTTTGTATTTATCACGTCATCATGATTCAGCTATTCTTACAGCAACCCTATCAGACAAGTTTGTTATTCTTATTTCACTGTTAAGGATCTTGAGGCTCATAAAGTGTAAGTGAGACATCGAAGACCAAAAATCTTGATTGATAGAGAAGGGTATTTTAAAAATTTTCTTTCTGTCACAAGAGAAAGAGTCATCCTTTCACTCGATGTATTCAGGTCAATTTAGATCCATGCCCCAGGCTCTCCCATGTGGCTCCAGTATTGCATAGCATTGCTCCATAGCTTACACTGTCGTCTTGTGGTGGAGCCTAGAGCAGGAATTTGAAAGGATAGCTCCCTAACTATAAAAGTGGGATGTTTTTGAATGAGAAAATCAACATCTTTGACTTGATCATTGAACTCACTCCTTTGGGGAAAAAAAGAATAGCCCTCCACTTCCTTATCAAAGCTAGGGAAATTTGAGCACTTCCTGTGTTGCCAGCACTGTGCTAAGTTCATTAGGCATGACTTTATTCAATGCTGTTAACATTGCTAACACAGATAGGGTAGGCAAAATTATTAGACCTAACTCTTAGAGGAGGTCACTGACTTTCTGACATTAATCAGACAGATTAAACAATAAGTCTGAGTAACCCAGGCTATAATTGGTACAAGTGGGATTTAAACTAATGTAGTCTGACTTCAGAATAGACTCTCCTCAAAAGGCTCATCAACTGGTTTTACTAGTGTCCACAAGGTCATGTGGCCAATATTATCCTGGGGGAACATTATCATGGCTTATTTAGGGGTTCACTGCTGCTCTTTTGGGGAGTGCCAATCACCACTCCCTTTTAGTTACTGAGAGTAAGCCATAGAAATTGACACAGAAGCTCAGGACCATAGGCCACTAAGTTTAGAAGCTGAAGAACTTCTTCAAGAGATCTCACCTGGTCTATTGGCTTCTAAGTGTGGGGTACGGCTTGTTTAATGGGTTGGAAAAATTAATTTAGTAGTTCACAACCAACATTCAAAAAATGAAATGAGTAGAATAGGGACCATCACAGTGTATTACACTTAGGTAATAGGGTTGAGAAACAGCAGTTTTAGTTGTCTAAATGTGTGTGTGTGTTCTGGATCACTACCAACATGTGTTTTTTATTGAGAGTCATGTTTGTCAACATTTGAAAACCACTGACATTGTTCAATGGCTTCCAAATTTTATTCCATGACAGGTGAGGAGGCCTTAGAAGATTAGGATGGGAAAAGTTGAGTAGAAAGAACTTCAAGAATGTCCCTTCCTTCAACGACAGTAAGTAGTCCCATGTGTATCTGCTTTTCTTGTTGAATTTTCACATAATATTTTATTTTGAAAAAAACAAGGACCTTAATAAAAAAGAAAAAAAAAAAGCACAAGAACAACAGAAACAAAAATGAAAACAATTGAGTCACTGACTTGCCCCATTGGAATTGTGTTGTACTGGATATTGGTTCATTTTTGTGTGACTTTCTGTGGTAGCTAAGGGTCTTTATAAGTCTAGCACCATTATGGTTGCCATCACATACAGGAAGGTTTGAAAACGTGGTCATTCCTGTACTGAACATGTTGTTAGAACCAATCTGATAAAAATGTATCGCCATATTGCTTACATCAGATATAGTAAGGAAACACACAAAGATATTGATCATAGTTGGCAATTCCTCTTATAAGAGAGATACAAATGACTGCTATGGAAAGGGATATTGAGGGATTGATGCTGGCTGACGCAATGGAGACAAAATTGAATGTGAAGGGTTATACTTTGGTTCAGACAATTAAAAGTGCTATGCAAATGTACTTGACAACAATTCATGACTCAAGGTCTAAGGTTGTTAACTAACTTCCCTGCAAGTCAATGGTATAGCATGGCTTAAAACCCAAGTTAAGCTTGGCTACGTTCCATGAGCTCATGAACATGTGGTACAGAGCAGAATGATTGCTGTACTTTGCAGCTTCTCTCATATAGGGCAGAATCTATTTCCCTAATTCTTCATTCCATTTGGTCCTGTGATTTGCTTTGGTCATGCAGCTTCCGTTCTTGAATTTGGAACCGTAATACAGACATGCGTGTTAAGTCCTGGTTAGCCTTGTGGAGAGACCCTGCATAGCTCACCTAAGCCAGCCTAGATGAACCAGCCTCTAGCTGATCTGCCAAGTGATTGCAGAGGAACCATGTACAGCCTTCACGTCAGCTCACACTTTTTTTTTTTTTTGAGAGGTTTTTGCTATAGGGCGCGTGTGCTCGCCAGAAAGACAGAGAGAGACAGAGTGACAGAAAGCAAGAAATCACCCCCCCAGGGGGGTGGCCACGCTGCAATCCCTTCTCCTCCATTCTCCTCTCGAGATCTTGGGTACGCATGCCCACGTGTCCAGTGTGAGTTTAAGCCACCGGGTCCGGGACTCGAACCGTGGTTGACCACATGGGAGTCCAGTGACATAGCCATTGTGCTAACTGCTGGTCCCATGTCACCTCACACTTTTTTTTTTAAGAATTACTTTATTTAACTTTATTTATTATTATTATCATTATTATTTTCCCGTTTGATCAGAGAGAGACAGAGAGAGGAAGTGAGAAAGCAAGCCTCCAGGTCCAGGACTTGGAACGTGGTTGGCCATGGGGGAGTCCAGCGCCTTTAACCACCATGCCACTTGCTGGCCCCTCAACTCGCACTTTTATGAATGAGAAAGGAATGCTTTGTTAAATGCCTCTGAGATTTTGATAATCATTCTTACCTAGAAATTGTTGATCAACATGCTTTGATCATGTATCAAGGAAGCAGACTTCTATTGTAAGGAAGGATCTCTTTACCAAGAAAGAAAAACTGATGAGATTAGGAGTTATCCATGGGAATGTTCAGTCATCAGGAAGACAGTATCATATATATAGTATCACTATATTTATAGTATATATACTAGTATATATATGGTATATATAGTATTGCTAGTTGAAATGAAAATCAGACTTTGATTTCAGAAAGATGATCTGAGGGCTGGTTACAGATCATTTCAACTGTGTTTCAGCAGAGTGGGAGGATGAGCATGGAGCCTACAAATGTGTGTACAGGAAGTGGTTAGGAGCAACAGAGGCTTTGGGAGCTCTGATGACTTACCAAGGTGTACGACTTTTGATTGAAACCTTTGTGCCTTTCTTATTTATCCTGGAACCCCTTTCTCTAAGTCCTGTTTACTCCTGAAGATCCAGATCAAGTCTAGCTTTCTCTAAGAGTTTCCCCTAACCTTTTCACCCTGCAGGGACCAACCCATTCCTGAATTCTTTATCTTGGCTATAATTTATATGCTATCTTAGCTGTTTTCTTCACTTTTTCCAGGCTGAGTTAGATGTTTTCCATGTGCTTACATAATGTTTCAAGAACGTGTTGCTCTGTTCCATGGTCTTGTCTCTTTCCTTAGAACTGTGAACTGGCAGAAGGACAGGGACATGGCTTGTCCACCTGGTATCCCCTCTGTCTAGTACAGTGCCTGGCTCACTATAGGGCTAGTCTTGAAGGAATTGTTGTGGATTTTGTCTTTCTGATGCAAGTGCAAACTCCTGAAAGACTGTTAGTGCTTATGTTTTCCAAGGCCCGTGCATTTATTCACTGAACAAATATTTGATGCCTTATCTTGACTTAAAAGGTCCTGTGTCACCGGGTCCTACTCACCTTCTTGACATCATCTTGTATAATTTTGCCCCTCACTCCTGACCTGTGCTAGCTGTACTTTTTCTGTTGTTGTTGTTGCTGATTTGAATGTTGTTTTAATCAGGTTTTTATTTATTTATTTATTTACTTACTTATACTTACATAAAGCTCTTTTTACCTTTGCAGTCCCTTTGGCTGTAATCTAATCTTTTGATTTCCTATGATTTCTTCTTTCTTGTCATTCAGATCTCACTTGAGAAGTCTCCTCCTGGGGGTCAGCAGATGGTGTGAAGGTTGAGGTGCTGGACTCCCACAGGGCTGATCTTGTTTCGTGGTGACTTACTTTCTTGCTGTCCCTCCCCCCTTCTGTCTCTGTGTCTCACTGGTGAGCGCACATGCCCGATAGCAAATTTTAAAAAAGTTCCCTCCTTTGAGCATCCTGTCCTGAGCACCCTGTTTGAGGTGCCACCTTGGTTCTCTCCCTCTCATCTTCCAATCTCAGTTCTCTACATGACATTCCTTGCTTTCTGATAATTTATTTCTTCCTTCTTATCTTCCTGCCTCTTGCTTTCCATCCTTTCTTTCTTTTTCTTCCATGGCTTGCTTATTTATTGAATGATTTTTCTCTCTGTACTAAAATATAAGCTTAGTAATGACAGGTACCTTTCAGTGGATTTTGTCTTTCTGATGCAAGTGCAAACTCCTGAAAGACTGTTAGTGCTTATGTTTTCCAAGGCCCGTGCATTTATTCACTGAACAAATATTTGATGCCTTATCTTGACTTAAAAGGTCCTGTGTCACCGGGTCCTACTCACCTTCTTGACATCATCTTGTATAATTTTGCCCCTCACTCCTGACCTGTGCTAGCTGTACTTTTTCTGTTGTTGTTGTTGCTGATTTGAATGTTGTTTTAATCAGGTTTTTATTTATTTATTTATTTACTTACTTATACTTAAAGCTCTTTTTACCTTTGCAGTCCCTTTGGCTGTAATCTAATCTTTTGATTTCCTATGATTTCTTCTTTCTTGTCATTCAGATCTCACTTGAGAAGTCTCCTCCTGGGGGTCAGCAGATGGTGTGAAGGTTGAGGTGCTGGACTCCCACAGGGCTGATCTTGTTTCGTGGTGACTTACTTTCTTGCTGTCCCTCCCCCCTTCTGTCTCTGTGTCTCACTGGTGAGCGCACATGCCCGATAGCAAATTTTAAAAAAGTTCCCTCCTTTGAGCATCCTGTCCTGAGCACCCTGTTTGAGGTGCCACCTTGGTTCTCTCCCTCTCATCTTCCAATCTCAGTTCTCTACATGACATTCCTTGCTTTCTGATAATTTATTTCTTCCTTCTTATCTTCCTGCCTCTTGCTTTCCATCCTTTCTTTCTTTTTCTTCCATGGCTTGCTTATTTATTGAATGATTTTTCTCTCTGTACTAAAATATAAGCTTAGTAATGACAGGTACCTTTCAGTCTTTCTCACTGTTCTATCTCTAGTGTCTAATATGTTTTGAATGTGTAAAGAAAGATATTGATCCAGCACTTACTGTATGTTAGGAATATAGTAGGAAGAAGACAGAGAAAGCTTTTCCGTTCAGGTATTTTACAGTGTTTGTTGGATGAGTGATCAATATATATATATACACATACATACTTACATGGCAGAAAAACAAAACAAAACAGTGCCAGCCAACCAAAAATAAACAAGACAAAAACCAAACAGACCAGGTTGTGTGTAGCCCGTCTGATGTGTTTAATCCTCAGCTTCCTTTGAGAAATGAGGATACCAAGTTTGTAGGTTTGCTATGAGGAGTAGGTGAGATAATCAAAGGACAGAGTACCCACATCATGCCTAGGAAGTAACAGATGTATTCGCTATTCCCCTATTGCCCTTTACTGATGTGAAATAAAATGTATTAGGAAGCTCATTGTGGCCCCTCTTTTCTCAACTACTCCAGAGAATTTAATTATAATTCTAAGTCTGACTCCTAGTTTTAAATTCACTTACAAAAATCTATCCCATCTCCCCCAGACTACTAACGGTGGAGGTGTAACTGATTATAGTTCAGTTGTGTGGCATGTACTTTGATCCTTTCAAAGCCTTTGTGTGACCCAGGAGGTCTTGCTAGCTGCCATGGGGAGCTAGGTGATAATTGGCCACAGCCACTGAAAAAGCATGGAGAATCTGGAAATGCTACAGACAAGGCTGGTCTTCTGCAGAGTTACAATGGATAATTGCTGTTGCCCAGAAAACCACTATTGGAAAGGGAGTCCTTTAGGTTACATCATTGGCAGATTAAAACAGCAACAATTTTAGTATTATTTGCAAGTTAATAAGACTTTGCTACATAGCTTTCTTCTATTCTAGCCCTTTAAATAGATCTTGTTTAACCTTCATATCCAAAACAATTGTGGTATTGTGTGGCCAAGGCTTTGACCACAGCTATGATAAGGTTAAATGAGTCCATGTCCTGGAATAGTTCATTTGGAGGCAAGGCAGCTGAGTTTCTTGTGAGCCAGGTCCCACAGAAGCCTTGGAGAAGAGGCATGTTTGGCCAGTGGAAGGGGCAAAGTCATGAATGATTATGCAACAGAGCTTCCAAAGTTAATGCATATCTGTTCCTAATCTGTTTCCTTTCCTTAC